TCCCTCCTTCCAGCCACTCATCCTCATTCACACCCAAACACTCACAGGTGAGGGAGGGTCGCCCCGGCACACAAGCTCGCGCTCTTGGCGCCGCCAGGACCCACCCCCCACCAAACCTTACACTCCCTCACACCCTCTGCCACCCTACATGACCTCTCTCACTAGTCGGCAGGGTGGACCTCCCCTTCACTCCCTTGCACCTCCTGTCTCCCACCCGGAAGGTGGATCCTGATCCTAATATCCTCATGCACTCCCCAGACTCCCTCCCAGACTCTCACTTCCGGGAGGGAGTCCCAGACTCACACTGGAGGGACCCTGCGGTTCTCCACTGGCCCTGGGGGGCGGGGGGTAGATGGGGGTGGATAGCTTCCGATTTACTGGCCTTAAAACCAAGGGCCATTGGTTTCTTTGCTGTCCAGCTGCTCCCCAGTCCAGGTGTTCCTCTGATGCCAAACAATCTTCCTCCACAGCTGGACTCCAGGTCCACTATGGCCTCAGCCCCCCCAACCTGCCCAGCGTCCTTGCGCCAAACCACCAAGTTCCCAGGACTCCAGCCATCTGTGGGTTCCCACATCCCTGGAGTTTGCCACATTGCTCTGGGGCTCACTAAAACACAACATGTGGCCCCAAGGTTGTTGAAGCTTGCAGCGCTGCTCCAGGGGCCCCTAGGGCTCACTGTGCCACATTAGGGCCTGCTGTTCCTGATCTTCTGGTCAAACAAGCCAAAGGGTTGGCTAGATTGGCAGCAGGCCTGATCAGGTAACGTCATTTTTTTTAAACATCCAAGACTGAAGCAACACTCATTTTTAAAAGCCCAGAGTTCTAAGAAATAACTCTGCCTCATTTTATTTATTATTTTGACATACCCAATCAATGTAAGTAAACTAAAGGTCAAGATTTTATACTGTACATACCAAGTTTTGCTCTTGCTATCTGATCACAGCAATATTGCTATAATGGAATGCCGCAACTTGGCCTACAAACCAGTCCAGCCAATCTTGATTCAAACAAAGGATCAAAAATTGAGCTGACTAGGTTGAGGCTATGGACTAGCTTGGAAAAGGAGATATATAGCAAGCATTTGCAAACTCTGTTACCTCGTCCAGTTTCTCAGTTTGCGATTTCAGTCGAAGGACAGTGGTTTTGAGTTCACAATTTTCCTCCTCTAGTTGCTGAACCCTAAAGGTAAGGCAGAAGGTTGGTAATTGAATGTCTACAAAAAAGCTGTTAATCTGTACTGCTAAAATATGAACTCCCCTTCATGGATCACTGCCTTGTCGTGGCGAAGGGGCTTGCGTAACTCAGTGAAGCCATGAGCTATATCGTGCAGGGCCACTCAAGACGGACAGCTTATGACAGAGAGTTCTGACAAAATGTGGTCCACTGGAGAAGGAGCTGGCAACCCGCTCCAGTATCCTTGCCAAGAAAACCCCATGGACAATGTCAAAAGGCTAAAAG